TACTAATGGACGAGAACATACTTAGTTGACTTTATTGTTTCACACATTGACTTGTTACCAAGTAATACTTTCGTTGATCTTTAGTATGTGGATTACATATTCGTTTCAGGTGAAGACTGTGACGCTGGAGATGATTGAGTACAACTCTAAACATGTTTAGCATGTGGTTTTCATCTGTCGAATTCATGAATGACGTAGCCCCGTCTTCTAGTTTAAGTACAGGTCGCGAGATACTTCGATGCACTCACTGTTCACTTCACTTGATTCGGAAGTTATTTCTCTCCTGATAGGTTTATTGCTAACGATTTTTTTTCTTCCTTTCTGTAGTGTATGGGGACTATTTGGAATTCGGGTTTTCTACTCCGCTATGTGAATATTTCACTTTCCGTTCCGAGTCGATATGAGTTTCTTATAGTTAAATATCTATATGTATCGCATAGGGGCATTTGAGCTGTTTCATTATTAGGGAATGTAGTTGAAATTCACTTTCAGTAGTATCTGAAATGACAGGAAAGTGAGAATGAAAAATATTTGCTGAGAAATAGTTGACTGATATGCCCCATAATGGGATTATTTATACTAACCAGGTAGATGAATCACTATTCCTTGAAAAAATTAAATGTCTATTATATCTGTAAGTTCTAAATACTAGATTAGTATAGAAACATTAAGGTACATTCTTCAATTGGAAGTAGAACAAAGTATTTGTAAACGAATGAAGGGAAAAGTGCACAAAACAACGATACTAATTTTCGCCAACACCGGTTTACTTCGCTGATGCCTTTTGTAATACTGAACACCTACAGCCAATAATAGAAATGAAAACGCATTGATGACTCTGATATATTTTGGATATCAGGGTTTAGAAATGCAGGTGAATCCACTTCGTCATACCTTGAGGTAAGCGATTAGAACACTTTAATGACGTCCAGAAGATAGTCTCGACCGATAGCTGTCACCTTGACGTGGTTGTCGGGCTAGCATATCGCAATGACCCAACAAGCTACACTTGCTGGAATTATTGTTCCTGCAGTTCCTGCCATGACAGGAAGATTAGAAGGCTAACGATTAGACTCTATGCTGGGGGTCTGTGGGGGAAGTCGTACTGCTGGGGAACAGGGATGTAACAGCAGTGAGGTGTTTCACTCAGACTACCAGAATGCCAGCGATTCTGTCTCTCTACTCTGGAAGGAGTGGGTTAGAAAAGGTCGACCCCAAAAATTGTACATCCCGACTTACCCTACGGTTGTCAGTAACCGGCGGTAAGTCACTAAAACGGAATCAAATCAGAAAGCCATCTCAGGCAGGCCATGGGTGTCTGGCCTCAAACAGTTGTCCTTTGGGCTCTGGAGTCACGCAACACTAACCCTCTTTCTATTTCATGTACTCGAATAATCAATCAACTCCCACGGTGTTGGCAGCCGGGAAGTAACAACCGCCCACACACTTCCAAAAGCATACGAAGCCCTCCTGAGCATCATTCTCCTTTATGCACATCACCCTCATCATATTACTGCCCTACTACAGTCAGTACTATTTTGCAGGCTAATGAGTCATATTCACTTCACTTCGTGACCACAAACAACGATGAGCCATAGAAACAATCCTGACAGCCTATTGAAGCCACGTTGCAAACATCATATAGGAGCATTTAACGTCAGGACCCTCTGCCAAATCGTACAACAGGTGTTCCTAGCAAGAACTCTAGTATCTCGAGCCATGGTTGTATGTTGTGTCTCGGAGACACGCATACAAGACCGGAGTGTGGTCATTCACTAAACCCCACTCGGCCAACAAAGTGAATATGCAAAACTCACTATAAGGGTGTCAGGAGACTCCTCAGCTAGTTCACGTAGACTCGCAGTTGTAAGGGTAGCATTGAGTGTTAGGGCAGAAAAATCAATTCTTGATTGGATCCTAGTGGATAGTCGTATGTGTGCCGTCCATCTGAGCAAGCCCGTTAGAAGGAAGGATGGCGTTACTCGTCGTTGTCTTTTCATAGTCTCCGCTAACGCCCCGACAGACTGTAGCTCAGTTATACTGAAGGATGATTTTTACCAGAAACTAATTTGCTGCAAAAAGCAAAACGCTTAGATATAGTTGTTTTGGCAGGTGACTTCAATGCCCGAGTAGGGAAGTTATACCAGACTGAGAAGTATATAGGTGGCACATACTGAGTTCCTGGCAGATGAACCGACAATGGTGATAGTCTTCTACAGTTCTGTTCAGATAATCGTCGGTTCCTAGTCAGCACTAACTTTAGTCACAAAGAGAGACATTGCCTAACCTGGCGACCTCTATCGCCAAATCGACGCTGAACTCAGACAGACCACATAGCGACAGGGTTTTGTTGACGAGGGTAAGCAGAAGACTGTCGCTACTTCTGGAACACGTGCATAGACTCCGATTACTCCCTGGTTCGCGCACATTTATGCTTACGTCTAAACGGACATAAAAATTTGATGGCAGCGAAATAGTTACGTCCCCAACTAAATTGAAACTCTGAGTCCCTATTTAAAGAAGAAATAGCAAAACGATTATCTGATGTCGACAGCGAGAGCAGGACTCCTCCTGAGGAAGCATGGTACAACATACAGGTGACTGTAGACACGGCTTTAAAAGCTGTTAATAAACTGAAACCTAAAGTTAGTAAGAGTCATTGAATCTCTACCGCCTCATCCGAACTGATTGGACGCAAGAAGACTGATTCCGGTGAGCTCCAAATATGATGAGAAGAAGCGGGGGCTGCTCAAATGTAAACTAACAAGAAGCCTTCGTAACGACCGTGAACAGTGGTGGAGGACAAAAGCAAAAGAGATGGAAAAGGCATCGGTGATTGGTAACACCAGACAAATATTTAGACTTGTCAGGGAAACAAGTGGCAAAATGCGAATCTCTGAGAAAAATGGCACCATAATTAGCTCCCGAGATAGACAACTGAAACATTGGAAAGAACACTTTGAGAAGCAGTTTAATTGGCCTACAGCCACTCTCAACTTACCCAGCATCCAACACCTCCCTGAATGGGATATAAGCACAAGTCCTCCATCCCTAACTGAGGTTACAAAAGCTGTCACTAGTCTGAAACGAGGCAAGGCAGCGGGACCTGATGGAATGACTGCTGAAGTGTTTAAGGACGGTGGAGACAGTTTACTGTCTGCGCTAACTAAAGTACTAAGCAGCGTCTGGGAATCAGAGGCGGTCGCGTCGAGCTGGTGAGTCTTTGATTATCCTGATATACAAGTCTTCCGTGATAATCACAAAGGGATTAGCTTGATCAGTATGGTGTCTGAAGTTCGTGGCTCAATAATAATGCGTAGACTAAGCCGTTCTCGGGAGGAACAAAGACAAGAGAACCAGACAGGCTTTAGACCAGGAAGAAGATGTGTTGATCAGATCTTCACCCTTCGACAGATGCTGGAACATATGTGTACTTACCGGCTTCCAACAATCGTCATATTTCTTCACCTAAAGGCGGCATTCGATTCCGTCGACCGAGAGATACTATGGCGATGTTTGGCTGTGAAAGGAATGGCGGGAAAATAGATTGCACTGACCAAGGCACTGTACTCTAACTCATGCAGCCACGTAAGAGCTTATGAAGAGTTGTCATCTGAAGTGGTGTCCGTCAGAAATGCCCCACTGTCCCCATTTCTATTTAATTTCATCATAGATGTACTAATGAAATTAACCCTAACTCACTTCAGCGACTCGGGAATTGACTTATTACCAGGAAATTATCTCGTTGACTTGGAATATGCAGATGATATAGTCCTCCCTCCTAGGTGAGGACGCTGACATAATGCAGTCCTCTAAACACCTTAAGCTGCAATCTCCGAAAGTTTGGCATGTGATTCGCTCCAGCCAAATATAAGATGATGCTACGGGACTGGACTACATTGACTCCTAGCTTAGAAATAGGGAGTGAAGTGGTAGACCACGTTGACCACTTCACATATCTGGAAAGTTGCATCAGCCAACCCCAGCGGGTTGATCGCTGACGAAATCTCAGCACGGATGTAGAAGGCTGGTTTCGCATATGCCAGTTTACGTTATCTCTGGCGTAGACGTGATATCCGGCTGACTGTCGACCAAAAGGAGTGTGGACTGCTGAGCATTTCGCTCCGTCGTCATTTATGGCTGTGAGACCTGGCCACTGAAAGTGGAAGACATGAAAAGGCTAGCTGTCTTTGATCATAGGTGCCTACCGACTGAGATGGTTAAGACATGTGTTACGTATGCCTAGGTTGGGAAAGAGCCAGTGGTGGTCAAACCAAAACATGGCTTCATCAGTCAATGAAATCCACAACAGTTAAAGTCACGTAGGAAGGTGTAGACTTCTCGGCTGGGGTCCTCAGGACAGTAAAAACCAATGGCTGGAGACAATTGATGATATGGCTCAAAATCGTTCTCAATCACAGCGCAGATGCATCTACTCCTTGTGACTTATAATATCCAATAAAACTATACGGTTCTCGCACATTACTATTCTTTTCGTCTCCTATTTCTGTTTACTGTCTCTGTTTTACATTTCTTTTTACTTACTTCTCTTGCTTTGTGTGCTATGTGAAGTGTGGTGACTCAAACTGCTGCATATCGGTGCAAAGTTCTACGTTGAAACCAGTCAGTCAACCAGAGGATAGTAGAGTATGTCCACAAGGAAAGTCAGACTGACGTTTACCTGTCTCTTACACTAGAAACAAGCAGTCTTCAATTGGTGTAACTATATGTGGTTAGTTCTCGATCTTTAAATACCCCACTGTTTTACCAACCAAACAACCACAATCAAAAGGGTAGAAATACTTCGAAATTATAATAACACCAACATATCCGATATATTTGATGGTAAAAGGAAAAAAGATAGTCATTATCACAGTTTCATACATATTTGAACAAAAAGATAACAAGGAGCCGATTACACCTGTGTACAACTTCACAATGTAGTAACATTAGTCTCTTTGTAATCTTAGTTATAATGATTTACTTATGCAACAAACAGATTAGGATTTTGTTTTAAGAGAAAGTGAATTGGTCGTGTTTGAAATTTGTTTAGAATTTTCCATGAGGTTTTGCTGATTCGTATATACTGTTTGAGTTACAGAATGATGTACAGCTGGAGAACCATGGAAGAAAGAAATCTGAAAAGTAAAATAAACAGTTTCGTGTGATGAGATGTAGACGAGTGAAGACAATAGTTAAGTGTTATGAGACAAAATGAATAGTGTTATAAGCATTTTCTCAACTTGATATGATACCTTTTAAAGGTCTGAATGCGTTTAAATGAATAATACAAACCAGTAATGACTAAGCTAACTGAACGCATATTTTGGTACAAATATAAACAAATTGAGAGCCACAGTGCGACGTTTGTACTACTATTCAGCCATGTTTAAACGAATTACTTAGAGACTGAATGCAAGCGTACCGATACTCTTTATAACTGCGTTGTTAAAAATAATGCGATGAGGCCTTCAATAAAGGAAATTAGAAGCTGATGTAGTTTCAGACTCTTTCAATGGACACGAAATGAATTATTGTTTGAGGAAGACTACTGAGTCCGTCAAACGCTAAAAGAAAAAGAGCACATTACCAGGGACAAATTAATTCACAGAAATGATGCTTTTTCTTATAGGTTTATATCCTGGTGAACTTCAACTGTATGTAGTGTCCAAGTAATCACATATGTCCTGTGACTTGTAGAGAATGTACATAACATTTACAAATCAATGAAATACTTTGATTACAGTAAACTTTTTATAATGCTTCAACATCCAATATCGATGGTGTATTAGCGTCAGAAACAAACTAAGTGGATCAGTTTCTACAAGCACACAAACTAGTTCTACTGACTACTTAGAACCAAATTTACACAAAACCATAAAGTATTGCACGACGAAAAGGCAACGCTTATGTTTCTTTCTATACACCTCTCTATGAACAGATAAAAGATGTTTTCACACAATACTAGGAAACATATTGCCATACAGTGAATTACAGTGTTTACAGTAAAAATCAGTCTAACAAAGTGAGTGCACTCTGTCAATTTAGAGTGGTAATGATAAACGAAATAGAAAAGTGGCAAAAAGAAAGAAAGAAGGAAGGAAATGCTTTTGATCAACAAATAGATTAATCACCAAGTTCCTCATTATGAGAGCAGTTTAGCTACACACACACACAAGGTCTAAGCTAATAAATTATTGCCCTTGTTAGTGTGATAGCAACATCTGACAAAAATAGCTGTCAAAGAAGAATATTTTCAAGTATTGGTTTTGTAGGGATTTTGTTTCATTGCATGGAGGATTTCATCATGAGCTGACATCAGTTAGAGAACCACTGGAAAACCTGGGAATTCAAGGACCATTGGATCGGGTCCCAGTGGCTTAATGGTCTACGAGCTCGCCTTGTAACCAGAAGGTCCTGGGTTCGAATCCCCGTGGGTGCATACTGATGAAGAGTCCCAAACTAGGACGAAACATCTGTCCAGTACTCCCAGGTTTTCCAGTGGTTCTCTAACTGATGTCAGCTCATGATGAAATCCTCCATGCAATCAAAAAAGAATATTCACATTTAATTCCATATCAAATAGGTTTACCTGGTATAACAGTGACAAAATGTTAATAATAACTGAAGATCCACCTAACTGATAAAAGACACTGTTTCTTTATCATGGAGATGCCTTATTTATTTTGTCACTACAGAGTAATATGCGTCATGAATTGGTATTCGAATGAATATAAATAATTAGGAATTTCATTTTTCAGTGAATAACAAAATTGCAGAATAATTAAAGCGTATGCCTCCAAATGGATTACACAAAGCCTTACTGAAGTCGAAGAATTGCGAATAGCACGTTTAGAAAATTAGCTGCTTTTTAAATACATTTATCAATAAGAAATTTACAATTGGGATACAACAGTAATAACTCGACAAATACATTTTTCCGATTTAGAAAGTATCAGTATCTAAAGATATTATTATTAATATTTCTGAAAAAGGACAGCAGTATTGCTGATGATTTGTTCCCATTAAAACACAAACTTAGTGCAATATTATTAACTGTGACTTCCAGAACAACATGACAGAGGCAATAATTATGATCCAGATAGCTAAAAATTACACTAGGCACGTCTCCGCTAACGTCAGCACACGGGCTTGTGACTACTTCTACCAGCCAGGGCACCTACCAATCTTTTAATACAACTTTCACTTGAATGTTTGTAGACGGTAACTGCCAACTAATTAAGTGCGACATAGGTATCCTGTGTGTTATCGCACAGTAGGACGATATCGCCTGCATACCCAAAGTCGAAAAGCCTTTCTTTAAACAGAAAATCCACGCTGTAACGTTGCATACCCTTCACGTCTGTTTTAAGAATGTCATCCAAAGAAATACCACAGCACAATGGAAAGATCGGTGAACCTCATCCATGGTTGAGATCGATTAATTAGCATCAAACACGATGATCGTCACATGAATTGCGTAGGTTCTTCCGTAAAAACAAACACTGATAAAACACTCGATCTTCTGTGCCTTCCAAAGCAATCTAGTCAGTTCCCCAACCTAACTTACCATCAGTCTCATAGATTATCTTACCGACACCATGCGTTAAACCTACCTTTGTTCTATATTTTTCCGCAGCAATGGGTGTAACTAATTTGCCTCCATTAAAGGATGACATTTATGTTCACCAACGAATCGGATAAGAAACGTGGTGAACACTAAAGCACCATCAGAATCCCAACGCGTGCTTGGGAATGGAGGGGAATTCTGTATGCAAATACGCCACTATGGATTATTTGAATCCAGGCTTAAAGGTTCTCTTCAAAATCTTGTAAGAAAACCCTCGCCTTTCATATAGAGTGTTGATATACTTTATATTTCTGAATTCCAGCCAGTCAACCGTTTCAAGTGAGTTATCATCTGGCAAAGTATTACTCAGTAATATATTTCACATATATATTTACTTTAAGGCAAGAAATAACTTCAAACATTAAACACAGAAGTGTGATGTGAACGAGCACCAGAGTAATAAAACATACAATAATTTCAATAAAGAGATGCTAAAAACTCACCATCAAAGCTAGCGAAAAACCACAATGTACGACAATTAGACCAATGAGTATTGGTGTGGCAAGCTAAAGATGAAATGCAAAATATTTTGAATTATTTCATGGTGAACGTGTAGGAGAAATGCTAAATTTTACTTCAGATTAACAGAAAGTAATAAATTTCATGTGGTTCTCTTTATCATATCACGTAAGCTGTGTATTCTAAGTCTTCTGCATACACAATAAGTTTGCACTTCTACTTTCTTTGCTTTTTATTCTTCTTCTGAACAGAATGACGAAATGGTTAGTAATCAAGTTTTTATATACACCATAGCGCCTTGGACCTATGTTAATAATTCTCTTCTTTCCTAAATATCTACAGTACCAAACTAGAGAACAAACAACATTTCACTTAATTGCCTTTAGTCATGCATTCTGATAATTTAATGACCCCAATTGCCAGCTAAGCGGTATAGTTATTTTGATGTACTGAGATGTTTCTTACTTTCCATACAGAGAAAAAATCAGCAATACGATTGCAATTATCATAAATATGAAGTTTGGGTCCTGTGAAAGACATAATTCTATATTAGTATAGTACATTTGATAGAACACACAGTGATACAGTATTAATAACTGGGTGATTTTTCGAACACGATTTGTTTGTGTCTCTGTTGACTCGATGAACAAGGATTCAGTGATCAATCTCTCCCTCTCCCTCATTATGTTGCTTTCCAGTACTTCCATTCTTACCCTTCCTTAATGTATGACTACATGCAAGTACATGCATCACAACGCTCAATTTTTTTTCTAGATTACTTGACCAAGTAGAGTTTATCACTCTAGATCTAGTCATGATAATCCAACTGATCTCAATCTACTTGTTTGACTTATGTAATGAACTCACTGGCTGTCCTATTGTATCTAATTAGTTTCCCTAATTGAGTGAATTGGGTCCTTAAGTTGACAAAGCTTATCTCTGCTTGGGTTGAATGTTTTAAGTGTCCTACTAATTTCACTCGTATTAGGAATTCTACGCAGGCTTTTCAGCTTCTATTCCCAGTAATGTAGAACTATGGAGGTTTGAATTCCTTATCATTCATATTATGATTATTATACTATTTGCCTTCCGAGTGGGACACAATGCTTCGACATTGAGTTTAAAAGCCGCAGTTACTGTGGTATCTTTACGGCATGGAGTTGCCAGTCTCACACCCAACCTTCCCTCATTACCCGACTAACTACAGTCTAATAGAGATGGAGGAGTGCGTCGGTCTTTTCTAAACTTTCGAATGAATTCTGTTAGTTAGCTACTCCATAGTAATGTTTTCCTTATGTTTGATTTTCCTATTTGTATTTTCTGACTTAGCCACCTTTACTGACTTCCAGTGGGATCCATCGAAATATGGTTTTCCATAGATGCTAATATATCTAAACTTCTATGATGCTTTCGTCTCTTTGAGATCTAGTGGAGTTAATTCATTTTATGACAAAAGATTGAATGAATTCCGTTGATTAATGAGTCTATATGTGTGAAAAAATTAGGGACTAGTGAGTCCAAAAATTTAAATGAGGAAATTAAATAAATAAATGAAGCATCACTACTGAATAACTGACAGAATATATGCGAACATGAAAAGTTTTGGGGAGATTCCTTATTCTCTGAATTACAAAAGAAATCATTTTGATTGGACACTAGTAACTAGTATGTGTCGAGTCCTTTCCTTGGTGCAGACTGAATTCTATCAGTCAGGTTTGCAATGTGGCTCGCCATCACGGTACACATTGTTTGTGATGATATTAGATAGTTGGAAGCAATCCCCAGGAAGCCTTGGACCTAGGCTTCGTGCTAGATGGCACTCGTCAGCAAGGCGTATCTGCAACCTTGAAGGAACTCATGTCCCTTCTGAGATTCGAACCCGCGTCACCCAGTGCCACAACCAGAGACGTTATCACTGAGCTATTCGGGCTCGCGACTGACCTCCTGTAGGACTAGACACGTCACACTAGTTACTACTGTCCAACCGAAATACCCACTACAGTCCTACAGGAGGTCAATCGCCAGCCGGAATAGCTCAGTGGTAACGTTTTTGACTGCAGCATTGAGTGACGCGGGTCCGAATCCCAGAAGGGACATGAGTTCCTTTAAGGTTGCAATTACGCCTCGCTAACTAGTGAGTGCCAACTAGCACGAAACCTAGGTCCAAGGCATCCTGACGATTGCCTCCAACCATCTAATACCATCAAAAGAAATCATTATTTACAACAGATATTGATTGTGAACATCTAACTTACAACTCAAGAAAGCGGTATTTCATTATCTTTAAGTAGACTTACCAGTTGAATAACACTCAGTAAAGTTAGTGAAAATCACATAAACAATTAAGGTCTTGGTTCTAAGGTTTAATTAAAAATATAAAACTAACACACTTCCAGGCAGGCGAAAACCTAGCCCAAATCCATTCCATCGCTCCTGTGAAATACAGAACAGGAGTTCCTTGAAAACTGACTTCAAAATGTACATTTTAAATGAATAAATAAATCGCGAAAGTTGTAATGTTAATACATTTACCTTTGGGTATTCTTTGCGTATAATAGGTGTTAGAGTAAACACCAGGAAAGCTCCAGAAACCACTACTGCAATTAAAAACAATATCCATTGCAGTATGTTTATCTGAATCATCCACAAAATCTGTAAATAATCGGCAAAAATTTGTATTACAAATCTAAAATCAATTATAATCAGAATACCTTTATAATGACATCATAGCCAAATTTAATGCACACAACATGCACTCCGAGTAGTAAACTAAAGATAGACAGATCACCTTATAACGTGCACTGTTTCAATTCCTTGTTACATTGGATTTCCGATATAGTATATGATGATGCAGTATTATTTGTTGGGCATAAACTACTGAACAAACAAGAACACATCAGAGTCACTCTGTTTCTTCACCCATTGTATTTCAGTCAAGCAATCTAAACTTTTGTGTACACCTCGGACAAACATTCAGAAACTTAGTGAATGACTCAAACGCTACATCAGGCTGCTTTGATTGAGATACTCGGGATGTTAAGAATCAATGACTGAAGACTATTGGTTGATATGGCTCAAAATCGTTGTCAATGGCGCAGATGCATCACTCTCTATGATCTCTAATATTAACTAAACTATTATGTTCTTCCATGTTACTATTCTTTCTCCCTCATTTCTGCCTATTATAGTTCTTTTGAATCTCTTTTTCTCTTTTATTCACCATTTTTGTGTGCTACATGGAATATCACAACTTGAACTGCTGCACTATTATGCAACGTTCTGTATTAAAACTCAGTCAGCTAGTTAGATATATATTAAAAGAATTCATTTTGTTATAACTACATGAGTGGCAGGAAAAACACCCGATAAGACAAAAATTAATTATCAGTTACAGCATAAACGGAGTAATTATCAATAGAATATTAATATAACTCACAGCAACAGGAACGAAAATTGTCAATGAATAACCATAGGTCGACAAAATGTCGAAAAATTTACTAGCACGCTTCGAATTGCGAAACGATGAGTCACTTTCGGAACGCTCTAGAAGGTCTGTAAGATCACTTTCAGAATTATTTGACTGTGACTTGACACTGTTACGACGAAAGTACATAAGCCCGTGCAGTACCAAGGGAGTCAAACACCAGTACACATAAATGACAGTGGATGTCAGAGTGACTAAAAAATATACATATACAATTAGTAATGGAAATATATTCTGACAAAAATCAAGTGGTAATGAATCAGCAACAAGGACCACTTGCATTATTACTAAATCTGTACATATTTAATTTATTGACTGAGTAGCTTAAAACTTTATAGAATCAAAAACCCTATGCAAATAACACAACAACTGAGAAACTAAATGTAATAACAACAGAGACAACAGCCTTTCTCGGAAGAAGTTTAATACCGTCTGAGGTTTTATGAAGGGTTGATTACAAAGAATGAAAGTTATGTGAAAATTGTTTTTGTTTCTCCGGAAAAAATGGAATGATTCGCAGACGACATTAATTTGAATTATCTTCAATTTCAGTTTCGAAGTATCACAATCTAAGCACTAATTCCTGATTATCATGTTTAAAGCAATCTTGAGGCACGTTATCAGGTTTCCTTGTTATTCATTGCTTTTGTTGCTAAATTTGGATGCTTAAGAAGGAACTGGAGCATGGAAGATGAGTGACTCAAGTGTATTTATAAGCCAGTTGAACCACTACTTACAGTATTCAAAGTAACGCCCCAACTGTCTTTTGTGATTATCCAACATAACTGTTTTAATGAAAGATCCTCCTGTATGACTTACGTTAATAAGTTCAAAAGACCAAAAACTATTAATTTGTCTCAATGCTTTTTTACATTTGCTGTTATTACTCACGACCAAGACTGGCCATTGCAAATACTTCGAATGGTTTCCGCTTACTTCATTCACTGCAGTCAATCGCAGTAAGTATTTGACATTTAGTTCAAGGTTAGTGTTGTTTCACAGAAAACCGAGTAATATAGCAGGCTAGTCGTGTTAAGATTTGCTTGTTTCCTAACAAGTTAAGTTATACTTCACCTAAACACAGTGTCTTTTCACCTACAGATGGAATGCCAGGTCATACCTTATTCCATGAATAAAATTGAAGTAGACAATTATCATTTTCAATGAACACAATGTTTTTGTTAGCTTGTCTCAAACCGCTGGTGTTTTTTTTTGAGCTTCTGTTTTTTGTGATAAGAGCAATAATTGTATCCAATTTGATACTCTGGCGAATGTTGCAGCTCGGTCGGTGAAATTCCTGGTAATTTTACTATTGTGCTATTAAATTGACTCTAGACGCAAGATATTGACAAAACCAGCAAGATTGACGAAATATAGTGAATTTTGCAGCAGGTGAATAACTTTAGTACTACCCTGAAATGTGATATCAATAAGACACACCTTTTTGAAAATCGTAATGCCATGAAGATACTTCACCACGTGATTGCAGATAGTTTGATACGTTTCCGCCTATTGCAGAAGCCAACATTAAAGTTGTTGCAATCCAAAATGGTCCATACAGATCAGCACGAGGTTTCAATGAAGTTTGAATGAAGTTAGTACGTGGATTAGGTACCATTGCAGAAGCGAGGCGAGCCAAAACCTAAAAATGGAGACAAAATATTATGGCAGTGAATAGAGCAATAATGTCATCATGAAAGCAAAAGGACAAGAAAAGTCAAACCTATAAATCACAAAAGAAATGTAAATATGAACAATGGAACAGCCTAGAATAAGCGTACGCAAAGTTCATCACAAAGACTGGTAATTTAAGCGGAAAAATAGTACAAATTTACACATTAAAACAGTAAAATTTAATTTCCAAGCTCCTAAACAACCATCTTATAATAATATAGCAGACAACCGTTAACAACAGTCCGGCCACATTCATGACACATTATTTAGATATTAGCAAACTTATCACAATACACCACTTTTCTTTCTTTATCGACTTTATCTCTTTTCACTGATGGGTATGAAGGCTTCGAAAACAGGGTCTAAAAAGCCTGATTCCAAGTTAACGGTGCATACAGATAACATTATCCGCAAAGAAATATAATGGTGTATGAGTTGGTCTTCTTAACTAACTACAAACTCCTGACGTTGATGCAGATCACACTTAAAGTAAAATCCTCGAGAAGTTAATTACATGCAGCTGATGACTTCATAGATTGCCCATTTGCTACAGTCTGGCTGCCCCTAATTATTTCCTTATCTGACTCTTCCTACTCTGCCTAAGATTGTCTGCTGAAGAAGACAGGGGATCTGCATGTATGAGACGTATCTTAACCACCTCAATCAATGCGGCTTTGAAAAGTAATCAACTCACATTACCGCCAAGGCTAAAACTTTATGACTAACGTCGTTACCACCTATCAGAATTCACCATCTACTGTGAGCAGTTGAATGGAGAGACCTATGGTCAGACACCATCAATTTTTACATACTCTGTACCTTCAACAGCAATGTCTCAACGTCATAAAGTGGGATAGACATAACTGTCTCAGAAGATTTACTCATCCTACCTCTGCAGTGATTACGTGGTGGGTCCAACAGACACACGTAGTCCTTAGAAAGTGAGGGCAGTCAAATGCCTGCAGTGTACACAGAAATACTTTTAATGACTATGCTTGGCAAACATAGGGTGGGATATAGGGCATTATTATGCAAAATATTTCATAATAAAAAACTAAATTCCTCCCCTATATTATAAGCAGCAGAATTCAGCAAGTCCTAAATAGCTTCATGCATCCATCCCAAAATTATATCAACCACCTAATCATCAGGAGTCAAGTGATTTCTTAGATTCGGAAGATTTTAACGCATCTAAGAGCTTATTTTTCAATGCCTACCAGTCCTTAAGTAAGCACCTGCATTTGAGATGTGAAAAAGATAGTCCTAACACCCCTAAATGTCACTACAGGTGTTCAGAAGACTTTTTATCTTGTCAATCGCTATGAATCTAGGTGTGAAATCAGAGACCTTCAGAAGCACACCTACTCCAAAGTTGAAAAGTGAATATACTAGACAAAAACTACCGGATGAAAGCACTACTAACTAGTTCACCTAAGGTGTTAACTTGATGTGTTGGAAATTAGACTTATACTAAACGGGTATCCTTTCCAGCAGTAGACTCAGTCATATAAACGATCGATTGATTGAATCAAATAACACCTTCAAGTCAAGAAATACAGCTAATTTATAGCATCCATTTCTTGGAATCTGATGAGGTTAACAAATCCGTGACCAGATTTTAAAATAATTTAGCTACCTCAAACTTACTGTCCCCTAACTATGGTTAAGTGTCATACCATTCCAGAGGCTATAATTTTGGAAACTGCGCTGCTCAAGCAGACTTTTTTATGGTTATCACTGGATTTTTCTTTGGTTATACCTGGAAGAATCAGTGGTTGAGACTGATGAAAATCATGTCTGATTCTTAAACTACAGTCGGAATTTTAGTCTAGTTAGTAATACTGGCCTACCATGCATAAATATTTCTGGAAATGGATCACTGGGCCCTGAAGTCTTCTCGTTTTCGAGTGCTGTCGCCAAACAATTAACTCCAGTAGTTGTTGGAGGTTCCACGTCGATTCACCATTTGGACTACGGTTGAAGCGTAGTTACAAGCTAGTTGAACTGTTCAGTTTTTCTTATCCTTTTAGTAACCATTTCTTTTACATGAACTACTGCCCCGATGTTCCCAGTTATAGTCTCGGATTTCTGAACTCTATTTATCTGATGAATAATTGGGTGCAGTTTCATATTTTCAGTATTGTCTTCACCTCTACTGTTCGATACCTAATAGTGTTCATGTTTGTTACGCAAACTTGAAATTTTATCTGTCTTTTCACTATATTGTGCTCGCAAATTCAGGGAATTAAATGAAGAAAAAACATCATTTTATCGAGTTTTTGACATTTTTACTCTGTTGTTACGTTGGGGAAAACATGAAAGATACTTGCTGTGGTCACGCACCCAAGTTCATCAGTCCACATCGACATGCGTGCGCACTCATGATAATTTGAAGCAGACATGTAACTTACCTGACTTGTATCGACATCAAAGTACTGCTGATAGAATTTGATAGTTAAGGGGCTATAGTTAACATCCGTCTGTTTGTCTCCAACGTCCGTCTTGAGTATTGCTTTTAATAAAATTTTATTTTACCTCGTGCTCCAAATTTCCGTGAGGCTCAGAGTCTACTTGATCATCAAAACTCCCAGAGAGTGGGATCCTGACGTAATCTCCATTGGATGTCGACATGCTGAAGAGTCGAACAACTAGTTTGAGTTAAAACAAAGGAAAAGAAGGAAGTCGGGAATCTGCAGACCACCAAGGATTGTTATATTTTAGTACCTAAATAGAAAGGTCAAATATATGATGATTCCACGCTATGTACAAAGATGCATCAGATCAGGTTATTTTGATCAACAGTGCAGAGATAAACATTCAAAACCAAGATGAATAATTTGCAGAAGTAACAGATGAGAGACCAGTCTCATTATGACCATAGGGATCAATTACTAAGTTTAACATGTCAAGCAGCTAGTAAATCTACAGATCCTACCAATTCGAGTTCACTAACAGGAATTATGTCAACACTTCCACACTGTAATTTTTGAGTTCATTCACTCCATTTTACATTGGCTTTAGTTGTGCAAAATCGCAATGCAGACTCAACAAAAGATACTGGTAGATTATAGCTCTACCTAAAACACATTTGTGAACTCCAACTGCATGTCCATGCACGCCTGATACCGATAAGGTACAAAAAGGGAACTCGAGAAGCCCCTGCGTCGCAAACTTGTAGATGAAAACTATTATGATGATACTTAGGCAACAGGTATCTCATAACAAAAGCGATTCCATATGAAAAGGTAGAGGACAGTTTATAGTCCACGAAGTCATCAGGCAACATTGGATTTCACCAGTCCATTTGAAACAAACGGTACAAGGAGACTAACAATAACAATTCAAGACTGACCACAAACTGATTTCGGTTAGAGAACCAGTGAAAACCATGGAGAAGGAAAGCTGTTTCACCCTTGCTCGGTAATCCACAGAATTATGCACCGGAAATCATGATGAGCGAGGTCTACCAAGTTGAGTCTGAGGACGTACACTCGCCGATGACATTATCCGGCGGTCACGCTATATCGCGAATTTGCACTGGCCGAACGATCCACAAGCTCGCTTTAAAACCGGGTTCGATCCCCGGTAGGTTATGAATGCGCACTGCTGAAAAGTCTCAAATAAGGACTCCCTGATTTTCAAGTCTGCTATCTGAAGTCATTTCAAGACTACTCCTGGAACCAATCAAAGCCCTACAAAACTAACACTTGAAAATAACAATTTATCCAGGAGCGCAAAAGCTATTTATGTGTAAACAGTCGAAAAGACCATATAACAACCAGAAACAACGGTAGGCGATGAAACCGAGTAAAATGGAGAGTGAATTAGCACTAGACTATACACCTAACAAACTAGAGTTAAACATGTTCAGTGAGGATGAGGTAAAAGTAATTCCTCTGAAGAGAACCAGGGACATAACACTGAGTAGTTAGAGCAGTTTAGTAATTCACTGTACTTTTCCACTCCACCCAGATTGAATGGGACATGCATATCGACTACATCCGAATTCGATACGAAGTAGTACGACTTAATGGCTTGACTTCTGGTATGTTTAACAAATAATGATAAAGTCAACTAAGTTGCTAAGTGGTGCATGGATATACGAAATAGTCATCTTACCTTATAATAGAAGGAACAGGCTTTTATGATGACTATAAGATCAGGATTTCAGCCGTAAATCATGATTTTTTGTGTTTAAAACCCTCCATATTACTAATCCTAGTAGTTAATTTCTCTCTTTAAGGCCCATGTGTGCCCATGGTGTCCCAAACCTGACTATTGACAATAATACAATCGAAGAAGATCAAGAAAAAGCAGAAGCAATGGCAAACTACTTCTCCCAAATCTTCACTCAGGAGTCACCACTGCCTGTAGGACCAGCCCTGGCTGCATCAGAAGAACATGGGATAGATTCCGTTGACATCGACCAAGGCATCGTGCTCAACTGCCTAAGGAAACTATACGCAGGGAAATCAATGGGGCCTGATAATCTTCGTCCAAGGCTTCTTAAGGAGCTATCAGCCCACATAGCCGGCCCTTTGACTACGATCTCTAAGCTTTCTCTCCTCAATGGAACGTTACCGCGTGACTGGAAAGACGCCATAGTAACCCCCATCCACAAAGGAGGATCAAGACAAAGCCCTTCAGATTACAGGCCTATCAGTCTCACCAGCACTTTAATCAAGACACTGGAAAGAATCATCAAGAAAAGCATCATGGTATATCTAGAAAATAGAAGCTTATTATCTAGAGCACAGCATGGCTTCCGAAGGAACCTCTCATGACTGTCAAAACTCACTGCAAGAGAAAGCTGGGTCAAACCCAGGGACAACAGAAGACTCGTTGACGTCGTCTTCATATACTTCAGCAAAGCCTTTGATAAAGTACCTCACAAAAGACTACTCATGAAGTTGGAAAGTCTTGGTATCAAAGGCAGCTTACTAAACTGGCTCAGGGAATTCCTCATAGATAGGAGGCAGAGGATTAGCATCAACTCGAAACTCTCTTCTAGGACAGCAGTACGCAGCGGAGTGCCACAAGGCACGGTACTCGGACCTCTCCTATTTATTTTGTATATCAATGAGTTATCTCTGCTCACCGACTACCCTACGGTCCTATACGCAGATGACTTAAAAACTTGGAAAGAGTTGAAGGGCAACAGTGGCACGTCCACGTTGCAAGAGGACCTCAACAAATTGTCAGAGTGGTCCATAGAATGGATGCTCCCGATAAATGTGCCAAAATGTGCAACCATGCGCATTGGACAAGCAAGCACGAGCTCCTACGAACTAGAGGGAATAACACTTCCGTCAGTTCAGACTCACTTGGACTTAGGTGTCATAGTAAGCCACGACTTAAAAACTACAGCACACTGCTGCGCGTTAGCTGCACGTAGTTTCAGGTCATTATGGGCAATTCACAGAACCTTCACTAGAATCACCAGAGATATATTCACCTCCTTATATACATCTCTGGTGAGGTCAAGACTGGAAAACTGCATCCAGGCCTCCAGCCTGTGTCTAAAAGGGGACTCACACATTCTAGAAAGGGTTCAAAGGAAGGCAACACGTATGGTTCTCGGAATGATTAATTTATCGTATGAGGAAAGACTAGACAGTTTAAATCTCTTCTCCTTGTCATACCGTAGGCAGAGAGGAGATTTAATCACAATGTTTTAAATTTTAAACAATAACTACGGACCTGACCTATTCTCTCTTTTTTCCCACCAGGTCGGAACACCTTAGAGGACATAGCAGGAGAGTTCAAAAGCCAAGAAGAAATCATATTGCTGTTGAGTACTGGTTCTCACATCGAGTCATAAACTCTTGGAACCGACTCCCAGAAGAAGTGGTGTCTGCAACCTCATCTGATTCGTTCAAGAAGAGTTTGGACAACCATAGAAATTTACTAGAAAAGGATTAACATAGGCTCTAAGCCTTCTATCCTCAACCAATAAATCTGAATCTGAATGTATATCCAAACCTTGTAGTGAGAAAACTTGTACAGTCATACCCTGACTTGTCATTTGCTTTTGACAGTACACAATTTGCCAACTGAACATTGAGAGTCTTATCCCAAGTTTTACGACAGCAACAGCTAGTCAAGTTACTTTTTGCACACCACCTCTGTTGCACTGAATAAACAGAAAACATCGTGTCAGTGCACAAAAGTCTGAATTCTCGGCTTTTAAAGACATGCGTTTTGAGACCTTGTAAGTGACAGTGAGGATAATAGGTCTCAGTTGGCAACTATTTTTGCAATCGAACATGCACTGCAACTCTAAACACACGTACTTAGCCCGAATATGGCTTACGTTATAACGTGAGATATGTAATTACATATCTCACGCTTCATAAGCCGTGTGTGTTCACTCGCAGGGTCAGTAACTACAAGTGACTTACAGCACTTACTGAAGTTAATGCAATCCTACTTATGAATTAAGAACAGATCAAGTAAGTGAAACGAATTCTCATAACAGAAACACAATTGTGTTTCATAGTCTTAAGACAAAATTTATTGACTGATGTTTTGTGTCAACCATAGGTGTGAGCAACATGTGGATACGAAAATGCACTTAATATTACTTTCTCAGTGCTCGTATCGCTATGTCCTGCAGTACCAAAAAACACTATAGTGCATCCAATATCCAATATCGTTTTTACGAGCTAGTATAAACCAATCTGATTTCTTGGTGCTCGCCTCTTGATTGTGAGATATAGGTTCCTGATCTTCGGCAAACTTCTCCGTAGCTCGTCCCGCCACTGGACTGTCGTAGCTTTGATTGACTCCCAAAGGAGTAGTGCTGGAATTAATTATATGTTGTTTGTAGTATGTGTGTTTAGAAGACTGAGTCCTAACTTCGCAAATAACCGAGGCAATTTTCCCTATTGAAATAAGGACATGTCAGATAAAAGGTTAAATCTAACAAATTTCCAAAAGCAGTAAATGAATGGTTATAACTTGCACATAAAAATAACAATCACACACCAAATCAGAAAGTCAAGCGACAGCGTCAGACGTCTCAAGGTCAACTTCAATTTCCAATGCCGTTACATTTATATGTTATGTAGATCCTAACAGTATGAGTTCATTATTTGTGCAAATGCGTTTGCCAAACTTGTAACTCAAAAACCTTTTGCGCTCCCTATTTCCAAAGATAGGTTCGGTTTACTTCCAATAACTTAATGACTGACAATTTAATTCTTCGTACTAGGTTAATCTCTTCCTCGATATCAGCACTGGCAGTGCATATTCAGTATTCAAGATGAATTTTCACACACATTGCATCGAGTATACTGAATGTATCCTAAAAAGCCCTAAGAATCTGGTACACTATTCGGAATGACTTAGCCTAAAGTGCACACCTGCTTCAGCACTGTTACACTTGACGATCTGTTGTATTTAGTCGCTACCCTAGGCCAGTTTGTGATGCCCTCATACATTATCACAAATTCATTCGCACACCCCTCTAATATCAGACAATCCTCAAGCTTATTTCAAAGCAAATGTATAAGGATTAATAAGCATTATGATAAGGACATGGAAATAAAACCCAGAAGAACAGGAGACTTTAAGTCAAGAACTAAAAGTGTCAGATATATATGTGCCTAAATAGTTAGGACAACGCTGTGACATGTATGTTTCCAAATTACTTCAATGATGTCACCAAGTATGATCACAAATGACTCAAAAGGTTGCATTTGTATGAGGTAGCTGGAAGTCACTCCTTTGGACTTCCTTGAACTTCACATCGTCGAATAACCGTTATCAAAGTATATAATAGCTATATGTGAAGCTGAGTTATAGCTAAATAGGTAACAAACATGGAAACTGCTTCTTGATCTCGCAGTTAACAGTTTTTCTCGCTCTATTTTGTGCATTATAGCACACTGTTAATAATGCTATTTAGGAGTTGTGCCAGTTTACTTACATCACTGCTGAAATGTTGAAAAAGAGCCTGAAAATTCTGTACAGGATTTCCCCAGTACGATCACTGCCAACTGTTGTCCCACCCTTTCGTAATGCTTCCATAAATTCCAATCTGCAGAAATATGTTGGTCTTGTCAAGTTGTAATTAGGGCAAACTGACAGTGTACTTGACTACTTGATTTCTACTACTTAATGGCTGATTATACCTGTTATATTTATCTGAGGTATGGCAAAGTAGAATGGCACAGGAATAGCAGTGTCGCATTGCAGGAAAAACACAACGTTGTATATAGAGACTAACTTAGTAGTTCATTTTATAAGACGCTTTTGTAGACAGGAGCAAGCCGTTCATCCCGAAAACACTCAGCCTTATGTCGTTTAAATTTTGGTAGCTAATAGTGGACCAGCGTCATATCCGTTTAGCACTTACATAGTCCTGGCATTTCAGTGAAGTAAAACTGAAAATAAATTCAATGAATCTCACTCATCTTTCCCCAGTTTTCGTAAAAAGAATGAGAAAACAAAAGTGACCTACTGGAAGTTTCTTCAGATTCATAAAACTTTGGAGAGATGTCCATTGTGCATTTAGTTGAATGTTCCTGATAGAACGGATAACATTAGCTATATTTTACAAAAGTATGTTAAATCAACTCGAATCCTAAAGAAACTGAAGACATAAATGCTTAGATGTATGCGCTTCTGGCCTCACAACTCTGTAGCGGTAGGTGATTCTCCAGAATTATTGGCCACAGCATTCATCGCTGAACATTGGATGCTGACCCTCACTGTTTAGTTCGACTTGTTTAGCTGAACTCCATTATGGATAAGGTTTTATTTGGAAAAATCACACAGTGTTGTACAGTAATATTAACTGATGACGTTTCGAGCACAAATTATTGCTCATAATCATATCAAGTTACTCACACAACTTTTTCCTTCATTTATATATATGTATGGAATTGACTAGATATTTGAATAAAAATCAATGTGAGATAATGTACATTCAGAGATAATAATATGACTGTTATTGATCAATTACAATTGTGTGAGTAACTTGATATGATTATGAGCAATAATTTGTGCTCGAAACGTCATCAGTTAATATTACTGTACAACACTGTGTGATTTATCCAAATAAAACCTTATCCATAATGGAGTTACACTCTACCACAATGCCCAAGTTTTTTAGCTGAAGGCTTCCGGTCAAGCATCCACGCCATTTGGTACGCCGTCGTGTCACGTTCGTTCGTCCATGCACTATCCCTAGCTAGTTAAGTAATCATCTCGCACTCCGATTTGGTCCCGAAGTATAACTCGTAATTTGGACGATCAGTTCTGGTCTTTTGCTTTGTCCTTGGTCTACGCAGAACGAATACTATAGAAGTTGTCGGTGTTAGATCTTGCGTTAGTATACTTTGTACTATCTATGAACATCAATACCTTCAGCCTCTAAAGCTCCCTCATTTTTCGAAATTCGTTGGTGGAATGAAACTGGAAAATATCAGCCTAAACCTCCAAATAAAGCCCTATGTTTACTGAATCTTTGCTTGTTGTTTTTCCCCTACCTAATATCAGAATAGGTAACCATATAACAATCGTGACTATTATTTCTGGTTGTGTCTGACTATTAAGAGTTTAAGACCTATTACACCACGCAAATAACAGGTTTCTAGGATTGAAATGGTTTAATGAATAGAGTCCAAAGTAATTTCCTGTCAAAAAGGTTGTGTGGGACAGAATCAATCTACTTGAATAAAGTTTAAGAATAGCTAGAATGGAGGAATGACTTGGATATGCAGTACCATGCAGTCATTTTGTATTGCTGGCGAGTCAGAAGCTCCTAAAGGTTCTGTTGAAATTAGTTCGAAATTTCTACGAAATAGTGTTCTCTGTTCGTATCGGTTAGCAGATATTTTGTAGCCCTTATGCACCACTAAAGGCGACTTCCAGAGACCTCTGAAACTTCTGAAAGTTTATATTTGAAAGCTCCTACTCAAATGAAAGTCAGTGATTATCTAATGCGTGATAGGAGAAATGATAAAATAAAAGTTAGGTATGCGTGTACGCGCTGTTTGAGAACTCATAGTCTTATTTCGTAACATCCTTGCAAACAAAGTTGCCCCAGCATTTCAGATGTCCCACATGTATTACCTCAGAGCTAGCCAATTTCTGCCACACGAGATATACCTTGATGAAAGTTTATTATTATTATTTGCCCGTAATTCTGCGTTGTTATGAGTAGGTACGTTTGTGATGTCAATCATGTATTTTTCAAACGAACTCTGCTAAGTCATTTTGGATCGATATTTAGTCTGCAGATTGATTTCTTTCCTTTGAAACCTCTCTATATATGTCCATGTATTGTGACGTTATTATGACTGCTAGACTGAACTGTAGACCCCAGACAACTAAAAGCTTTCCTCCCAACAGGCCCCTTTTTTCTTTCGTTGAGTCGCGTATTAGTGGCATCAGATTGCGTTGGTTTTCGGTGTGAATAGTGTTCAGAACAGTAGGATCGCAAATATACTGGCTGCATTGACGGCCATTACATTTACTGATTGCATCATTTTCGTAAAACCTCTGTTTCCTTCATCAGAAAACTTTTTGAACTCTGCATCATTCTTTTCTGTTTCCTGAAAGTTGCTTTGTGAACATTATCAGGTTTCCCTCAAAAATATTTCCCTACTGGTTGTAATAATGGACACCTTGGACATTCTAACAATGATACATTTCACTGTCTGTGTTTTGGTGCTCACCATTAAACTAGTAGAGGAAGAATATTGTGCTCTTAGAACACTATGTGTCAGCGATACTTTTACGTCTATTTTGTCGGCAGAGACAAAGAAATTGACCTTCCTTGGTCAATATGAAGATGAATTTTGTGGGCTTCAGTAGTTGTGTGAATTTCCTAGACTTCCTAAATCTACAACGTCCCCTGGAGGCTGATCCTTATTTGATGGGTCTTTGATATTGAAGATACAGTTTTCATTATCCTTGGTTGGTTACACCTGGACTTCTCGAAGGAGTTTAAATATGTCAACTATTTCCCTTTTTAGACAATATCGTTATTTATATGTTTAGAGACCTAGGAGTAAATGCTAAATCAACAGTGATTTGGTTGCATCATTCAAGCTCCATTTTGCCAAACATTGACAGACTCCCTCCACTGAGAGCTTGGCAACAACCTCAAGTTCCGCAAAGACACCTGACATCACACAACTGACCCGTAAATATTCATCAGGGCACACAATCGTTTTTCCCGCCTAAATGGGATAGTGTCATGCCACCTTGTTTTTGAGATCTCAGTTATCTACATTATATTAAATACCTCCTGTCCCACCTTCATCTCCGAAGAATAGGTGGTATCGTGAACTTCTGTGCCAGACAGGTACGAATGAAACAGACCCGAATGTTCAGTCACTCAGCCCTCTTACTTTAGACTAATAATGTAACAACAGAAGACAAGGGCCAGGCAACAGATCGTTTATTAAGGAAATCAACACATATTTATAGATTTTCATGTACATTATCATAAATTACTGAAAGCAAACAAACACAGTTTTCTGATTGGTGGTTTCTCGCTGAACGTTAATCTTTCATCTCTTTGTGGCTGCTTCTTGAAGTTCAGATTACCTACCTGCAAAATGCATCCGTCTACGCAAAGTTTGCTGTGGTTGGTTGTTGAATCAGTCTTTGTTCTTATTTTTCTCATGCCCAATATTGGGGACGTACACATTGACGTAAATTACTACCTACCGATTTCGGCTAGCAGCCAGCCCTAACCACATTCGTCCTACCGTCAAAGACTTGCGAGTGAAGTTGGTTTGGTCTTCTCGGTTCTAGGGGCTTTGTTCGTTTGTCTTACTGTATGGAATCTCAGGGCCCGCTGATGTTCACCTGTTTCTCTTTGCTTGCTATTGTGATTGTGTCTGCGTAACCCCATCTCAAAGTGGCCATATGTTGTCCTTCCCACTTTGGAAACTGTTTGCCTGACCCCATCGCAAATTCGTCGGTATATCGCCTCACAGTTTCATATGCTGCTTTCTCCCGTCATCCCAGCAGTGTCCCAAGTAACAGCCTCATCGCTGACAGATCTTGAACGCCATTCAGCTGCGCAGAAGCCTCGAAGTCCTGCCCGAAGACTAATATGTCTCCATCAAAAACTGCAGGGTATAGGCTTTCCATTTGTCAGTAGGCAGCGACACCAAATGTAACAACAGAAGATAAAAGCATGTCCAACAGGTCTATGGATTACTCATCTTTGTCCACTTTCCTACT